TGTGAGTGTGTGTGTGTGTGTAAGGAAAAACAGCGGTTTGTCATTCGCAAAACTATTCAGAGAAGATTATCATGGCCCCTGCACAAGGATGACCCGCATAAATTGACAAATGGTCCAAATCACAAAAAAATAATAATAATAATGAATAATAAATAAATAAATAAATAATAAATAAATCACCATCCAAGCAATGAAGGGAGGTGTCAATCTAATACGCAAGCCCAAAAGTCATATGCGACTTCCAGCGAGGCATGACAGAGAGAAGCAATACGCGTTTCGTTACCCTCCTTCAGACTCTCATTATGCTTCTTCTCCTCTTTTTTTTTCTCTCTCTTTTTCTTCTTCTTCTTCTTCTTCTTTTTTTTTTTTTTTTTTTTTTTTTTTTTTTTTGTTTTTGTCTCTCTCGCTCTCACCTTCCCTCTCTCTCGCGGTCTGTTCAAGGATCTCCGGAATCGCCCCTCTGTCGCTTGTTTATTCCATTTCGCATTTTTTCCTGCTCCTGGTCCTGATCTTGATCCTGCTCCTGGTCCTGTTGCTGATCCTGTTCCTGGCCCTGTTCCCGATGCCGTTCCTGGCCCTCCTGCTCCTGGTCCTGTTCCTGGCCCTCCTGCTCCTGGTCCTGTTTTTAGTCCTGTTCCTGGTCCTGTTTTTAGACCCGTTCCTGGTCCAGTTCCTCCTACTCCTGCTCCTAATCTGGTCCCGCAGGCGATGCAGAGGCGAGCCGCTTCTCCGGCAAACAACTCTAGTGAACACTGGGAACAGATCAAACGGCTCCCCGTTTGACAAATTAGCATCTCCTCTAATGGGACCAGCATCACCCTACCATTCCTTTTAGTGACCATGGAGTTCCAGGAACTGGAACTCTCTGAAGGATAGGTACTAGAAGTCCCACAGCAAGAAGAAGAAGAAGAAGAAGAAGAAGGAGAAGAAGAAGAAGAAGGAGGAGGAGGAGGAGGAGGAGGAGAGGAAGAGAGAGAAGTGGAAGTACAAGGAGGAGGAGGAGGAGGAGGAGGAGGAGGAGGAGGAGGAGGAGAAAAAGAAGAGAGAGAACCCGATCCGACGCGGGATTTGAGCCCTTGCGCAGTGCTTGCTTCGAACGCTTGCCGCAGTCGAGCTTCCACGTCAGCGCGGAAGCTCGCTTCGTCACGCGTGTACAGTGACTTTCCCGCCACCTCTCCCTCCATTGTTGACGTCATCGAAATCGTGGCCATAAACCCCCCGATGGCGTCGACGTTGCCGTCGAGGTCGCCGTCGCGCAATGCCACGTCAGCGCAATCGCATCATCCCACGTCAGCAGAATCTCATCTTGATGCCACGTCAGCAGCGGCGATCAGTACCGAGCCGACCCCCAGAAGAAGAAGAAGATCTAAAAGCGAGTTTTGCCCGTCATCGCCTTCAGAACGCGACTTTCTACTTCGACGAAGCGATCATCGCGTTCACTTCGAGGATTATACCGTTGCGTTGACTTTGGAAATTTGACCATCGATCCGTTGACCGTTGACCGTTGACCATTGAACAGTTGACCGCTGATCTTTCCTCCTTTACCTGTCGGGACGGGCCTGCCGCTTGCTAGAGACTCACGATGCAACAACAGCCGTCCGCTGCTACGCTACAACACTCGCGATGTATACATTTACGGACTCCTGGGACTAAGTAATACTAAGTAATATACTAAGTAAGTCGCACTGCCCTTCTTCCCCTGAATACAACGTACGGTCAGTACATTATAGCTGTATTTGGGGTATCTTTCATTCAGTCTGAATACAGCTACGATGACAGTACGTTGTGTTTGGGGAAGCAAGGGTTAGCGGGGGGGTTCAGTCGTTCTTTCGAGTGTCTTTCAACATGCATTGGGCACAGTGCAGCCGTGAGATGTTCAGATCGGATGGCAGGAACCGATGCGTACTGGAAACCAAGTCTGAACGGCCCCAGCGGAACTCAGCTCAGGGAGGCCCAATAATATCCAGTCGACAGCTAAGTTGGTGGTCGTTGTTGGTCCCACCGGTCCAACCAGCAAATTGGGGCGTACTGACCCTGGGATGGGACTTCTCGTCATTGACTTACCGTGAGGGAACGGGTGCGCAGCCCGTAGGTCGTTTGTTTATGTGGTTCGGGAAGGGGTAAGGTAGTGAATCTGTTGTATGTATGTTTTGTCATGTTCGCTATACACAACTCGAAGAGAGTGTGTGTGTGGGGTCCCGGTTGATGCCTTATTCACGATGTTCACGGGACGCTGGACCCAGTTTCCAGCAGGTGGCGCTCCCCATCAATAGACAAGAGAATGTATGTGCATGTGTATGTGAGTGTGTGTGTGTGTGTGTGTGTG